GACCATCAGCCTATCCCAGCTCATCAACACACACACACACACACAAACAAACCATTAACAAGGACATGTTGAACAGAACAGATAATGCTGGCAATCTTCTGACCGTTGGGAACTTCTGAATTAATTGTTTTGATTTCATTGATGATGACTGGGAAACATCACCAATGCTGTTTTGCTTTCTTTACTTGAGGAAACAGTCTGAAAAACATGTATTATAAAGCCTAGCCTACCGTAAATATCCAAGTAGCACAGCAATATAATATATTCATAAAAACTGAAGAATGTCAATACCATCTGCAAAACCTGTAGTTTCTGAGGAACTTGACTACATGCTGAACAATTGTCCTGTCAGTTATAACAGACAATAAAACAACAACTGGGAACATTTGCCATCTTTTTCATTCAAAAAGCTATATATAATTTATAACATGTGACTCTGAATTAACTGTAAAGAATTATGTAATTACCTATTGCTCAAAGTGCTTTGAAATATGCAGCTTCCTGTATAAAAAAATGGCATAACAAATACTTAATGCATTAACACAGGCACTAATACAAAGACTACAAGAAAAAGAAATTAAAATGGATGATCACGTGTCCTTTTGTTAGGTGGAGTCGTGGGGAAGGCATACTCTGTTTTATCTGTTTCATTACAAGAGTGGATTGAGTCCCATTTAACAGACACAATATGATCATTTTTAATTACTCACCTAATTTGGCTTCCTGTCGTTTCCTGCCAAAATAAAAGCTCGAGGGATTAACTCGAGGCAGTTAAGAAATTAAAGAAATTAAATTAGGCAGAAATGAAGTATATTGCTATATAATTTTAATAGACAAGAAAATAATCATTCAATTAAGTAAAGTATAGATTGCAGATCATTTATTTGTGGCAGACCATGGACAAAACATTAATTTTGAGACCAAAGAATTCGTTTTAGGAATAGAAATATAAACCATTCTGTTCCAAGTTTTTTTGTTTGTTTGTTTGTTTGTTTGTTTGTTTGTTTGTTTTGTTTGTTTGTTTGTCTTTTATTTTTTACTATTGTTTATTTATTTTGCTTGGGTACTTTACAACAACAACAAACAAGTTTAATCGCCACCTGTCCTATTGGCAGTATCCAACCACTAAGATATTGGAGAGTGCTGTCCGTGGTGCTGAAAAGGCGACTCTCAGTTTCTCCTGTTACTCGAATGCCCATAGTCTGGCATTAGGATACATGATATCTTATTAGGCGGACGTAAAGCAAACTAGAGTCCCATGGGAATGTAATGCCTGGAAAATCTGTGCTTATTATTTTTAGATTAGGTGGTTATTTTAAGGGTTACCTTGATTACTACCGCATCGAAGAGCACACTGTCAAAAGTGATTTCACATCATTCTATTCAAAATGTTTGCCTCTTTTCTATTTAACTTTTCTCTAATCGACTTTGATATTTACCTCTTGATTTCTTCTTCAGTAACCAAGTACAATGAACTTTTCTGCAGGTTGTAACCACGTTTACTTTTAAAATGTAAAGACAGCCCCCCCCCCCAAAAATGTGTTTAATATTTATTCTAGATTTTCGAAAAATACAAATATTTCATTATGTCATTATTTCTCTTTTTATATTTACAGTTTTGACAGTTGACGTTTTGGTGATTGGGCGTCAAAAGACAATTCGGTTGCGGTCACATTAAGACTATCTGAACATTACTGAAAACAATTCCTTTAAAATGTTAACCGTCGGAAATAATTAAACGGAACATAACACCGCATGTCCTCACAACTTAAAGTGGTCTGGTCCCCTTTAATGAGATCGTCGTAATATTACGCATCTGCTTTCATATCAACCCTCGTCTTCCCTCACCAGGCTCTCAAACAAACCTCACGCGCCAGAATCCCTCTCATTGTCAACAGCGCCCGCCCCGTCGACTCGCCCACCCGAGCAGCGGAGCACCGCTGTGGCGGAGTCCTTGACGGGGACGTGCACCCGGGTAATAACGACAAAACACTGCTGTTTACATGAATGCAAGCTGATTCTCTCCGGTTTGCTGCAACCAGGTAAATGTCAAATGTTTTGCATTGCAGTATGACGGGCGAATCCTGATGTATCGTTGTAGCGAAGGACTCCTTCTGCATTTCCCGTGTGTATGACAAACCAAGGACTGTGACGCGCCAGGCACAATATCCTATCTGAACGCACAGAGCAAAAAGATATTTCACATTCGCACGCTAAATGGTGTTTATTTGCACCGTGTGTTTCGCACACATTTTGGGTTTCGGTGTTTCGATGTGCGCGCACAGCAGATGTTTCCCTGCAGCGAGCATGCGTGTGCATCTTGCTTTTGTTTTGGTTTTGCGCTTTCATACTATTCTAATCTAGGGCTGTGTTTTCATAACCTATAATTGTCGTTCTCTAGCCCTGAGTAATGCTTTATTTCTGATTTGGTTTCAGCGCGTCGGCTTGCGCTGAGTCGTGACATGGACAGTGTAGTTTTAGGGCCTAGGGTGCAGTATGACCTTGCATCCCTGTAAGGACTTGCGGACTGCAGAGAAAGTGTCCTTAAAAGTGGATTTGTGAAGATCTAAAAAGATCATCATGTGTAGTCTTTATCACAACCAAGCAAGTTTACATTATTTCGAATATATTAAAGCAGGTGAAACTGCACAGTGTGTCTCATAGTGCATCACTATAATCTCTTTACTCTCTCTGGTAATTATCACCTGCTCCTTTGCACAGGATACAATTTGTTGCAAGTAGACTTGCCATTGAGGCTGCTTGCCTTGTGGTTGTGTAATGTCACCACGCTGTCCCATCTGTCTATCTCACCACAAACACATAAGCTAGGAAAGCCAATCACACCACTTGTGGAGCTTACATTCTAGAATAGTGGCTGAATGGCTGTCTCCATGACGACTGCTCTACATCTTCTCAGCATGCAGGCCAATCGTCCAAAGCATTTCCTTACCACATTGGTGCTACAAAGAGCACACTCAATAATATATTTCACTCTGTAGGGTGAATGCACTTAAATTTATTCTTCTCTCAATACCTGTCTTAACATTTCTTACAATAGTAAGGAAATATGAATATTTTAATCAATAATTAAAATAAATCTGAAGTAAAATATAATTTAAAAAAACTCAAAGCTGAAAATTAGAAATGAAATAACTGATCAACCATCTAAGTAACTAGCAATAAACTGAAATAGGTTTAAGCTGAAGTACTACAATTATTTAAATGAAAACTAAAACTGAAATCAAATAAATTACTAATTAATGAACTCGCATTAAAATTAAAAGTTTATACTGTAAATAATATAACATTGATTCTTTCATTACTGAAAAACAGCATTAACGTCGCTTTTTTTTTTTTTTTCCCACCCACCACCAGCATTTTTGATCATTTTCACAAAAGTAATGGCACCCAGAATATTTTGTTGTATGAATATCTGAACATGCAATATGTCAAAACAAAGAACAGAGCCTCTGCTTTTAAGCAAAACAAACAAAAAAAAACTTTTATTCTAGCTTCATGCAATCTTCTTTTCATCAACACTTGAATGTGGGTAAGTTTCATGAAAAAAGCAACATTTTGAACAAAAAGCTGAGAAAATTGCTTTTTTGTAAAAGACTACATCTGGATCAGATTCAGAATGATGATCAAAACATAGATGGAATTGATTGCTTCCATCAACACATCCAAAGCTTGCACAGTTTGATTTATATAAGGATTCATGTTTGATGATCGCATTATTTAACATATGCATCTGCTTACATACGCGATAGCTTGTTTCTGCTTCTTCTTCACCATGTTTTGATCTAGGGATTCAGTACTCTTTCAGAAGATGCATAATAGTGCCTCCTGCTGTACACCAGTGAAATCACGGAAAGCCAGAAAATTCCATCAATGGCAGGGAAAGAGTTAAAGGGTTAATTCATTCCAAAATGAAAATTCTGTCATCGTTTGCTCACCCTCCACTTGTTCCAACGCTGTATGAGTTTCTTTCTTCTGTTGAACACAGAAGAAGACATTTTGAAGAATGTTGGTAACCAAACAGTTGACGGTAACCACAGACTTCCATAGTATGAAAACAAATACTGTCAACTAGAACTCATACAGGTTTGGAACAATTTGAGGGTGAATAAATTATGAGAGAGGTTTTTTATTTTTGGGTGAACTATCCCATTTAGTTCATCCTAAACTAGTATGGAATGACATTGATGTAGCCATTTGGATCTTAAGTGTCCCACTTTACCTAAATTCATTCTCTATATTGACATTAAACATGGTGTCACTGGATATTCCTTTAAAATGTATTTCATATTTGTATTTGCTTGTGAGATAAATGTAATATTGATTACTGCTTTTTTATAGATATACTTAAGCTGATTGCACTGATTACAACTACTGAGTTTGATTCACTTCAGAGCATTCATGCTGCATTTATCCATCCACACTGGATGCATTTAGCTCCATTCAATCCACTGACTGAGTGATCACTGCTCTCTTAGGACCCATGAGGGATGTCCTGATAAATGACTTCATAATCAAATTAGTTCTTATCACTTCCTAATCCATCTTAATCTAGCTCCCATTAGATTTAGGCAAACATAAAATGGGCCCAATCATTTTCGTTGTTGGAGGTACCAGATTTATTAAAGGAATAGTTCTGTAAGAAAGCATTCTGACAGTATTTATACATTTTTTTGTTTCATGCCAAACCTGATTTACATTCTTCTGTAACAAAAAAAAATATTTGTTTACAAATTAAACTGATGAACTCAATTATTCTTGAGTTAAATAATTTGAATTCAGTGTTAATTTAATGTTTTTTATATACAATTTATAGTATGTATTAATATTATGAAACTTTTATTTTTATATTTTAAAAGTTTTTATTTTAATTTTAGTTTGTTTTAATCATTTTGATATTTGCTTTAGTAATTTTTTTAAATATCTATTTATTGTTTATTTATTTTTATTTCAGTTTATGTTTTAGTCATTTTAGTACTTAAACCAAGGAAAGAATTTTATTTAATTCCTAAATTCATTCTCCATATTGGCATTATACATGGTGTTACTATATACAGGTGCATCTCAATAAATTAGAATGTCGTGGAAAAGATGCAAACCAAGGTCCTAGAGTCTGGAGTCTTTAAGATTACTTACAACAGAACAGCAATGCATTTTATGGATGACTGTTTCGTGAACCTAGGAGAGGAGGCAATTCTGACTTTGCTATGACAATCTGGCGCTTCTGAATCAGCTACTGTTTTGTTATTAGTTTAAGTATTTGCTATTGACTGTTCAAATGCGGAGTTTTGCGCATCGTGTGTGTGTGTGTGTGTGCGTGCGTGCGTGCGTGCGAGCGAGCGAGAGAGAGAGAGAGAGAGAGACACATCACATCACATCACAGTGAAGTCAGCGGTCTTAACCGTGGCTTGTGTACTACTTGTGAACAAATATTCATCACTGTCTGTCACGAGACTCTGTTCTCCTTTCGGGCTCTGTCTTTACATTTATTTTGAAAGATGAAGCTCGCGATTATGGTAAGGGGTGTTACATTTCCGACGAGTGCTTGCGGTGCATCATATAACCCCTTTAATATGTATTACATGGTCACTGTAAACTGCTGCTGTATGAAAAGACTTGCATGAAGATCTAAGCTGTCAAGGAGATCTTCTATTCTGCCACATTGTTCTTTGCCTTTATCATTATCTGCTTTATATTCAAGTCATAAACAGTTTGAAAGCTGCAAGCCAGTGTGTGATATTTGGCTGTTGTTGAGCAGGTGTTTCTGCAATGATATAGCTTGAAAGAGGCCTGTGAGAGAGAAGAGAAGTGCTAGGTCATAACAATCACTCATCTGCAACTTTCTGCACATCTCAAAAGACAGCAGTCAGAGGTCATCCAGTGCTGTAGCAGGAGCTTGACATAGCAGAATTCCTCATCAAAATATATTATCTTTATTCTTCCTGATGCAAATTCAGTGTTCTTTTTCTAAGCAATTAAGATTTTTAGATCTGTATTTTTGTGTATGTGGCAAGTCTAGCATCATGACATTTTATCCTTAAATATGCTTGCTTTCACATGTGTTTTCCAAAGAGAAGTAGGCTCTTTCTTCAGGCATTTCTGCTTAATTTATAAGCCACACACTATAGCCAAAAGAGCCATTACCCAGGATTTGTGCTCCAAATCATGCAATGTAAGCTATAAAAGTTCATTTTCCATTTGATTAATGATCTGAATATTAATTCATTTATTTGATATGATAGAGTTTGCTGATGATTTAAAATATGAGAGAGACTGAGAATGTAGTCTTCTGCGTCGGTGCAGAGTTCAAACCGATAGATCTCACAGCTGCACTCTACGTTATGACTCACACTGCACCAGAGGGAGTTGAGACCACTGTCCCGATACTGACTCAGCGACTGCACATTTTCCCCCAAAAAATGTATTAGATCCCTGTTTATTAATTCATAATATTGTTATTTATTAATAATATAATTTGACTGTTTAATGAGCTTTTATCATTTTTACTTGCATTTAGTTTTCTGCTCTACGTTATGACTCACACTGCACCAGAGGGAGTTGAGACCACTGTCCCGATACTGACTCAGCGACTGCACATTTTCCCCAAAAAATGTATTAGATCCCTGTTTATTAATTCATAATATTGTTATTTATTAATAATATAATTTGACTGTTTAATGAGCTTTTATCATTTTTACTTGCATTTAGTTTTCTTTTACTTACATTTAGTTTTTCAAATAATATTTATTTATTTTTTATTTCAGCTTTATTTTAATTAATGAACATGTTTTTTTTTAATGGTTTTACTACAATAACTACACTGGTCTGTTTTGTTCGTTTTCATCACCCAGCCAACCCCGAGTGCAAAAATGAAGTTCATGTCAATATGGTGAAGGATTGAGTTGCTTATTATGAGGAGCATACTGCAGTGTTGCTTATACTAAGCTGTGCCAATTCCTTTTTAATTATTTAGATCATTAATCTTCTTTTCCATCAGCATGTGTCTCAGGATGCCCACTGTAGCAGAAATCACTGCTTTTTCTCATTTTCTCATTTGTCTGTTTCTCTCGTATTAAATATTCTAGCTGCATCAGGGATGAAAACATTTTTAAAGCTTCTGGCGGGTCTTGATTTCACTGAGTAGTCTGATTGTGAAAGTTAAAGCTCTATTATTTCTGTTGTCTAGCTTTGCATCAGCGCAGAGTCAGAGACCAGCCAGTCTATGTCAGCACAATGTTAAATATATTACAGCTCTGCGAGCAATGCTGCTGCCAGGTCTGCTGAGTGTGAAGAGGTCAGATAGATTAGATGAAATGGACAGATTCTAATGTTTTCTTTTGACATTGATGGCATGATCTGCCTCATGATAATGTAAGAAATAAAAATGCAAACATTTAGGTAATGTCTTAAAGGGGCAGTTCACCTAAAAGTGAAGCCTTTTTTAAATTATTCATTCTTTCTTCTGTGGAACATGGAAGGGAAATGCATTTTCAAAACACAACATTAAAAAAAAAAAAAAGATTTTATTTTCCACAGACTAAAGAAAGTAATTCAGGTTTGGGATGGATCGACATGGAGGGTGAGTAATGAGTGAACAGAATTTCACTTTTTGGGTGAACTATCCCTTTAATAGCATTATAGTGTGGCAACAAACTTGAAATATTTATTTTTTAGAATGTAGCTAGTTAGGAAACTACTGTTATGTGAATGAGACAAGGGTTGATACGTGGTTTGAGATTTAAAGGGGTCATATGCGATTTCAATTTTTCCTTTCTCTTTGGAGTGTTACAAGCTCTTGGTGCATAAAGAAGATCTGTAAAGTTGCAAAGACTAAAGTCTCAAATCCAAAGAAATATTCCGCCGGACGCTCCTTCATCGAATCCCCCGGCCGCACCGTTCTCAAGCCCGCCTCTGCTCACTCAAGCCGGCCTCCGCTCACTCTAGGCCGCGGCCTCTGCTCACTCAAGGCCGCGGTGTGTGATGCTGTTTCATTGTGAAAGCGAAACTACTTTGTTTGGCCTTCCAAAAGAGGACGATATCCACTTCGTCATGCCTGGAGCTGATCCGTGCTGGTCGCTGAGGAAATACATCAACTTCGCGCTGTGGATCGCCGGATCGCCTTTCACCGTGGATAAAGCGGAGTCCAGCCCGGGGTCGTAACATGTGGTTGCCGCAAGCACGCCGGACGCTCCTTCATCGAATCCCCCGGCCGCACCGTTCTCAAGCCCGCCTCTGCTCACTCAAGCCGGCCTCCGCTCACTCTAGGCCGCGGCCTCTGCTCACTCAAGGCCGCGGTGTGTGATGCTGTTTCATTGTGAAAGCGAAACTACTTTGTTTGGTCTTCCAAAAGAGGACACGACTAGAAATCAGTGGTTAAGTTGTATTTACAACACTGTTCCAGAACAGTTCAACCCAAATATTCAGATGTGTCCAGTGCATTTTATGGAGGACTGTTTCCTGATCCTGGTAGAGTAGACTACAATGCCGGCTGTTCTGACTCACAGACTGTAAGTACGTTTTTTATATTTAAAGAATTTGCCACTGACGATTCAAACGTGTGTTTTTTGGGCAGTGTAGTGTAGGCTTGTTGTTTGTCATTTCTTTAATCACAAATGCAGACATGGTTTTATGTTTACGCGGCACGATGCAACGCAATGCATAAAAAGACAGTATAAGTCATTATAATCCGTAATTATGTCCCCACTGGATGCAACAAATGCCTCGTTTATAATAGGTTTTAATGTTTTTGTCTTGTCGCTCCGGCCAGACACGGCATCACAGTATGGTAAGGGGCGTAACATTTCCGTCACACGCTTGAGGTATTCGGCCAATCACGACGCACTGGATAGCTGGCCAATCAGAGCACACCTCCCTTTTCAGACCGATGAGCTTTGTAAAAATCAACGTGTTTCAGAAAGGCGGGGCATAGAGGAGAAACAATAATGTACAGTATGTGGAAAATAATGTGTTTTTTAAATCTTAAACCACATAAACACATTTCATTGCACCAAATACACAAAATAATGTTATTTTTAGCAGCATCATATGACCCCTTTCAAATAATTTCTGCAAGTCAAACTGACGACATTGTCTATGTTCTTGTGTTTTATTCAGGCTGGCTGCAGCTGAGCTATTCATGCTGTGTTGACAGGGAGGAAAAAAGATCCAGCTGAAGAAGGAGAAAGAAGGGAGAGGACTGCTGACTCCATGTCTTCACCTTCAAATAAAAGATCTGGCTCTGGATCACGCAAGTATGGCATCGTTTGTCTCTCTTGAAATCTTCTTTCTAACAGACATTATTTTAAAACTTGCAGCTGTGTTGGTGCTTTGCTGTAATATCTAACCCTTCTAGCTGCTGTTTTACTCTTTTAATCACAGTACGATCTCTGCTGCAGTTTAATGACCTTTTGAGCTTCAAGTGCTTCAATAATCCTTTCTCTCTTCCGATGCCGTCATTAATACATCAGCTGTTTAGCGATTTCAATTTCTCTCTCTGCTGTCAAGGCTTTTTCACCCTACAACTGCCAGGTTGTATAAAAACTACCTGAAGTGCCAGTTTAAATCATTTATAAGCACGTTAATATACTAGGATATTAAACACATATACACAAATATACACTATCGTTCAAAAGTTTGGGGTTGGTACGATAAGTCTCTTATGCAAGGCTGCTTTTATTTAATTAAAATACTGTAAAACGGTAATATTGTGAAAAATATTTTTACATTTGAAAAAATAATGGTTTTAAATTTTAATGTATTTTAAAAATGTAATTCCTGAGAAGGCAAAGCTGAATTTTCAGCATCATTACTCCAGTCTTCAGTGTCACATGATTCTTCAGAAAAAAAATATATTTTTTTGTAAAAATGTAAAAGTATTTAAAGAGAAATGTTATGTATCCTTGTTAAATTAAAGCATTCATTTATTTTCTTTTTGTAAAGGGCATATTATTAGGAAAGGCAGAAATGACTTCAAAACATATAACAAGTTCCTCCAAATTATAGAAGAAACGTTTGTAAATCAATGATTTAACAAGCACATGGATAAAGCACTATTTTTAATAAGCATATTATATATCTTCCTTATATACTTCCTTATATACCACTTTTTAAAATTAAATATATAATTCGTAAGAATAATAGTAGTCCAAGGCACTCGAATCTTATTCATTACTTATTTCATCATGGCTATACATTTTAAGAACAGGTGACAAGTGCACACCTACGCGTTGCAGCTATTTTGCCTTCGTCAGGGTGCCCTGACGAAAAATGGTAATTTTGCAGTAGAGCCCAGCTCTGTGCCTCTTTCTCATCTCTGTTTCCTCAGATTCAACCTGCTGAAGGCCCTACAGCCTAAGCACCGCTTGCAACAAATGCTGTCGTCTCCCAATGCATCCCCTGTGTGAGACTCTGATTCAGTACCCTATAGTAGGGCATGACTGTAGTAGACAACACTGCTGCACTGGGCATTCACACGCTAATTTAAAACCAGCCCATTACCTGCAACCACTGATGCTGATGTTGAGGATCTGAGAGGGCAGATTACTCTGAACTCACTGGTCTTTGACAGAGGCTCAGAGAAAGTGCAAATGGATCAGTTAATGATCTGTAAATCTGTTCTATGAGAAGCCATTTTGGCTCTGATTGAATTGATCATCTGTGAGACTGACAATTACTGTGATATTTTGACAATGATTCTAATGAGTGTGTGGCAATTCAGTGCACATATTCACTACACATTACCCTACTTTCCCTCAATTAGTCCATATCACTGAAAACATAATGGACGTACCTGGTCTGTACAACTACCCTGGCTGCTTTTCACTTTCTCCCTTCTTTTCCTTGCTATCAGTACTGATAGCAGAGTCCTCTTTTTTCGCTCTCTCACTCCTCAAGCATGCTTTGTTTGTTTCGGCTCTTTCACTTTGCTTCTATTTTCTCTGTTTGCTCTCACCTTAACCATGACCGTGGCTTGCTTTCATGGTTAGGTAGTTCAGCAAACCTCTTATAGCCCACCAATGGTGGTCCTGGTGGACAGTAGTTATAGTGGCTTGTCATTGAAAATGTGCTGTTTTGATTGGTTTATTTTTATCTAACATGTCGAGCTGAGAATTATATTTGGACCAGTGTTATTTTAGTATTGTTTATATACTATTATAATGTTTATTAATGCTTTAGATTTTACTTTTATTTTCAAGTAATTTTAAGTAATTTTATGTGCTTGTCATTTTTATTAGTTTTTTCTGTTTAGCTTATATATATATATATATATATATATTTATTTTGTTTCAGTTTTAGTAATTTTAATACTTCAACTTCGGGTGGTTTACCAATATGAGGCTTTCAGTGGTTAATGCTGATACTGATATTTACTCAAAACTCACTCACAAAATTTAAATAAAAATGACCAAATACCAGCTCATTAATATCATATCAGACTATTACTAGATTCAAAGTTATCTACCATCTGTAAAAACAGCATTCTGCACCACCTAAAAGAAGTGCTTTCATTCAGCGCAGCTAACCCTGGGTTTAATTTTAAATTTTTCCAAAAGAGAATGTTTTTTGGGAGATTAAAGAGTCATTATGCTCTAAGCTACCCCATGATCCATTGCTCCTATTTTGCCTCAGTTTTATGAATACGGTAGGCTATGTGATGTCAGCATACCGTATGAAACTGCATGTTTAGAAGGTCTTGAAAACAGTTAGTAAGAATATTTTTCATTTACATAAAATAGACATGTAATGCCAGTAAAGATGAAGGAAATAGTGTAATTCTGTCAAAAGTAATCTAGTATGCATTTGTACAATATGTCCAGCATGTCTTTTATTCTTTTAAGTGTGGCAAAGCGGCTGTGATCCTACCCAGCCCTCTGCTAATGTTTCTGACAACCAGAATTAATAAGAAGCTAAAGCTACTATTTATCTTTCTCTCTGTCCTCCCCTGACTGCTGACTTAATTAATTAGTCAGACAATCTGTCAAATAATCTGTCAGATCTGCAACCTTGTGTACAGAGTTTAATGGTTGTAATAAAACAAGCTTCTTGTTGTGTTAATTTCAATTGGATGTTTTAAATGGACTTTAGAATGATTTGAATAATTTCAAATGTTAAAAACAGATGTATCAAAAAGACCAAATCAGCACCTGGAATTTCAAGGACAGATGTATACATAATTTTTCGGAAATTGGGAAAAAAAATATGGATAAAAATAGAGAATAATGGAAAGCTTACAACACAGTCGGTAAAAGTGGAAGATGATTTCTTTTTTAGCGCAACCTCTGCTTCTGCCTGAATTCATCTCGTATTTATTATCACAGTTTACCAGAAAATGTCCACAGAAACATTCGAGTTTCTATACAATACAGGTTAAGGTGAACTTGAGGTGTGTGCTATCCTGTATAATGATTCTTTTTTGTTTGTGGGTCAGTTTTGACTATTGCAGGTTTATAGAGCTAGACTACACACCCATGGAGTCAGGCATTATGGTCTCTATGAGACAGAGCAGAGGATTTCTGACACCAAAGTCCCCGGAACACCACTGTCGGTCAGCGCTCCATCATCCCTTCTGTCTCGTTCTT